TCGAACTTGGTGCGCAAAAGATCGATTGTGGCATGTGATGTGTGACATGGTGCACCATCCTGCTAAAACAAAAGATCGTCCAAATCCAAGGCTTTAATTTCCGGCTACAGAAAATTGTTTATCATGCCTCTGTAGCACTCACCGTTGTCCAAAATGGCGTCTCCAGCAGCATTTTCAAAGAAAAATGGGCAAATGATGCCATCGCTCCAAAATCCGCACCAAACTGTTATTTTCTGAGGATGCATTGGATTCTCGATGATCACGTGTGAGTTTTCCGATCCCCAGATGCTGAAGTTTTGCTTGCTAATAAAGCCGCCTATATGAATATGAAGATGATTTTTCAAGCAAAATCATTGCCCACATCGAGCTGCTCTAAGGCCCAAACTGAGAAGCGATAACGTATCGGATGGTTGTGTACCTTCAAATGCTGAGTCAATTGTAAAGATAAAATAGGTCTTTTTCTTTGCATCGAAAGTGTAGCACTGAGCTACGCCACTACTAAAAATATCGTGGTGTAGCTCAGTGCTAGAGTTTCGATGTAAAGGAAAAGACCTTATATTAACGTGTTGTCAAGATTTCGAGCGGGAAAAACCTTTCAGTGTCAAAATAACATATAATTAAAAAACACACTAGATGGGCCACCTTTTATATTTTTTATTTATTCAGTCTATATACACCAAGGGCGGCTCCAGAAAGGGCGGCTAAAGAAAGGGAGTCTCTCCACCCGGAATTTAAAATTCCTATGATCTATACGCATTAAAAAAAAAAAAAAATACTGAAAAGGGAATGGATAATGACATTGGTCCCCCTCCAAAAATTCGGCCTGGTGCCGCCTTGTCATATTCTATTTTAATTTTTAATGTCTATATTTGGTTGCTAATTTCTAAATTATATAAATACCATACATACAATATTTTCTTACGAATTTAGTTCTTTCTACAAAACATAAACATAAAATACTCATTTACAGTTTTTATGGTTTGTTTTTATTGTAAAGTCAAAATGATAATCGTATTCACATTGAGTAAATACACGTGCTGCCAATTTTAAGTAAGATGTGAAAGACAGGTACGTATGTACCCATTTACCAATTCCTGATGTCTACACAATAAATCATTTGTATTTTTATTTTATACGTAGATATTAAAGTAAAATTTACGACAGTGGCGTATGTTGTACATTGCTGTTTTGAATCTGTTTTATCTATGCTAAAAAATTCATGTTTGTTACAATCTTAAAACAAAGGGATGTGCCTATGCATATAAATGTAGGTATATAGCACAAGGACCTAAAGGGAATTGCAAAAGAAATATTTTTCAGACACCAAAATACAAAAGGTATACAGTGTCGAGTATTAAGTGCTTTCCAATAAGCTTTGCTAATGTCAACGTGAAAACTACAGAGAGTTAGCATTAGTTCAAGGAGGAAACAAATAAGATCAATATGTCGCAGTATTTGGTTCCATTATTCTTAAAAGTTTACTATATTTGACTATGCAATCCATAGTCAACTTTTAATAATGTAAAACAAATTTAAAAGATCTTGTCATTATTTTTAACACAATTTTTAGTTATAGGCACTTCTTTTTAGTAATAGGTAAATCTATAAAAACGTTAGAAGTTATTAAAAAAAAAAAACGACTCGCGACTTCACTGATGTAACTGCTATTATAAATCTGTATTTTACTTGAGTTAGGAGTCACCTTGATTATTGTTCTTTTGTATGGTCCCCACATTATGTAAACTACAAATTAATAATTGATTGTGTTCAAAACAATTTTCATAGGTACGTAGCCTTAAAATTACAAATTTATTAATGATCATGCAACAACTGAACAATTTTTACTTTCCTATCTGTATACAGATATAAGGAAAGTATAGAAATCATGATTTTTTTCGACCTCGAGTTTTCGACGGATTTTTACGTTTTGAGGTCCCCTGAATCCGTTTTGACTATTTTCGCGATGATGTCTGTGTGTGTGTCTGTGTGTGTGTGTGTCTGTGTGTGTGTCTGTGTGTGTGTCTGTGTGTCGCATAACTCATGAACCGATACACAGAAAAACACTAAATTTTAAACTTAAGCTTTGTTCCAGCGTCCAATGTGCTGATTGGATTTTGGGCAGTGTCGGCACATCTGGGGGGGTACTTTATGGGTGGTCATTTTTATATTTTATGGAATATATCTGTTATTTACGTTTGGGGAAGAAAATTCTTCAAATAAAAGTTACTTATTATATTAGTATCTAAAATTTTTGTTATGTACAAAATTTTCCTAAAATGGTCCGTATTCGAGAAATTTGACAAAATGTAAAAAAATATTTTTTTATAAAAATTGTTCAAACAAAAGTTGTTTGTAATATAATTCTCTATAATTTTTATTTTATGCATAATTTCTCTAAAATGGACCGTATTCGATATATTTGAGAAAATGTGTAAATTTCGAAATTTGAAGAAAACTCAAAAACGGATAAAGAAAAAAACATTAAATTTAAATTTAAGTTTTATTTCGGCCTGACGTGAAATGATTAGATTTTGGACAAAGTCGGAACATCTGGGGGGTACTTTATGGGGGGCCGTTTTTATATTTTATAGAATATATCTGTTATTTATGTTTGGAGAAAAAAATTGTTCAAATAAAAGTTATTTCTAATATTATTATCTATAATTTTTGTTTTATGTCAAAATTTCCTGAAATGGTCCGTATTCGAGAAATTTGACAAAATGTGCAAAATTCTGATTTTTATGAAAATTGTTGAAATAAAAGTTGTTTGCGATATCGATCTCTATAATTTTTGTTTATACATGATTTTTCTAAAATGGACCGTAATGGAAAAATTGTAGGAAAAGTGCTAAATTTAAATTTTTCAGTATTTTCATTTCCAATGAACATCTATAGAAAAATGTTTAGATGTAGATGTATGTGGAAAATGTATATATTTATTTTATCCTCTAAACATTTATGGAGGTGCTGCAATAGGTTGTACAAAATAACCGGAAAAAGCCTGTAATAACTAGATAGGAAAGTCATGTGTTGGACACATCAGATTTTTAAAGATACCTTCTTTGGCTTCCAGAAGAAAACATAGAAAATAGATGTTACTTTTTAATATTGTTAATAGAATATATGATTGTCCCAAAATGCTATCGAAAATTAATCTTTTTGTACGTACTTGTAATAACAGACAATCACAAATATTTTATATTCCTTTCTATATAGATTTTTACAATATTGGTTTTATCTTTTACTAAATTTAAGCATAACATTCAAAATTTACTAATATAATTTATAAACTTTTTGTAACCTGAATGGACTTTGCCGTAAATAAATAAACCAACTGAAAAAGGGTATCCAACCGCTCTGATGTGGTCATCTTAAGAGGAGTATTTACTTGGCTTTAGAGCAGAGCATGGAAGGGTTTCCCATTTTTAAAGTTTATTTTGGAAGAAAAAAAATATGTGCGTGTAAATAATGGTTAAATTTATGCTCCTCTAAAAACACTTTTTCAAAATTTGAAACAGTTTTTTCTAAAAAAAATACAGAACCCGACTTTTTTACCCATTTCTCAATTTTTTTAGAAAAAACTAAATTGAATTTTGAAAAAGTGGTTCCAGAGAAGCATAGATTTAACCTTTACCTAAACGTACATATTTTTTTCTTTTAAAAATAGTAAAAAATAAAATTTAAAAGTGGGGTAGTACGAAACATTTACATTGCAAGATTTTTCGTCTGGAAAAGGCGCCTCTGTTAGATTTTTAAGAAATTAATATTTATGAATGAAAACAATTTATAATATATTTTACTGATTTTTTTACGAGAGATAAATAAATTTTACGTATTGGTACACCTTATTGTTTAACGGAAATCATTTATGTAATACTAAGATCGACATACACAATATGCAAGGGTTTCATAGTAGTACACCAATTTTACGGATTACTTTTTATTTTTACTACAAGAAAACGTAAGTACAGGTTAAGGCTCAACCCGTCTTTGATTTTTGGAAAACCATTAAAGAGAACCACAATTGATATTTTCAAATTCAGGGCTAGCTACATATTACACAAATGGAGTTTTGCATTTTGTGCGTTTGGACTTCTCGAGGAATAAAAGTGGAGAAAATTTCTCAGAAACGCTAACGTTAATTGGCTGAATATGTCGTGCGACGTCACATTAGTTGGGGTTTAGAATGAAAATTTACGCTAACATTCCTTAATCGAACAGCTTCGAGTTAATATTACACAAGCAATTAGAGTAATTGGAGAGAATGTCTGCAAAAATGTTATTAAAAATTTTGCGAAAAGTACATTATCACTTGTTGAATATAAGTTTTAACTATTAACAATATTTGTAGGTACTTCAGAATAAAATAAGAAAATTATAACATTTAAAGTGTTTTATGTTCTTTATAATTAAATAAAATCAGATGGTCAAATTTGGAAATGCTTTATAAGCCACTGAAAAATATTGCTAATTTTTTGCAAGGTACGTGTCCTGTATGACTGAACTAATAAAGTTACTAGGCAAAAAATATATTGTATTAAAAAACGAGAGCATGTTGGTAAACTGAAATTGACTTTTACTGGCCATAATGATGGACAATAATATAATATTAGCATAATAATAGGAGCATAGGAAGACCTCATTATATGAGATAGAGTGGCAATCCTCATAAAATTAAGGGACAAGGGACAAAAATGGAAACAGGTAGCGACGGATCGAAAGTTTTGGTAAAACCGGGGAGAGGAGCCCCTTTTTCAAACGACCAATAGAAGATTATATGGAAAGAACAAAATAGTTATTTAAAAATTCTAATAAACAATCACCTGAAAAGCAATACAAATTCTTCAAAAATACCATATATTTGATTAATTTTTTAAAATACTAAAAGTACTTCTTTTAGCAAACCTCATCTACGCTGCTGTTGAATCCTTTAGAACTTAATTTTCATATTACCCAACCCCCACCACCAATGACTCAAAGTGGGCGTATCTATCAGGGTTTCCCAAAGTTTCTGTATGCAAATCCGAGCAGTATTTTACATTTTCGCTGTAATATGGAAAAAATTATCAGTAAACCTCAAACTCAGCGCACGCACTGAAGAATCAAATGAGCAGGATCGCGATTTGTCACTTGTTTCGCGCCCACTGTGACTTTGCCTTCATAAAAATTGAACTTGATATTGACATTGCGCGATCACACGTATTGTTCTAAAATGCGATTTGCAATGTTTTCAAATGAAATTGGTAATTTATGTTTTAAAAATTGTTATTATCAATTGTGCAGTGGTGTAGGTATGTGAAGGTGTTAATTAAGTGTGCAAATATGATTAATATGTGTGAATGTAATAATTGTCGGTAATTACTTGTACAGGAATTGTAAAAAGTATTGTGATTTTTAGTGTGATATTATTGATTATTAAGAAAGAAGTTAGTTAAAATTATTAGGTAAGCATTATTTTTTATGGATATGTTTAGCTTTAAACCAATCAAAATCGTTTATTTTAACCGATGTTTAAAAACTATGACGTCTAATAGGTTCTTATAGAGGGTGGCCCTATTTATCGAAGCTACATTTCTATAATAAATCTGACTAGGTTTAAAGGGTACTCCATAACAACAAACCAGGTATCAAGGTCATTTTTGTAAATAGAACACCCTGAGTTTTTGTGTCGACTGTACAACAAATGTTTATTTATTATAAATCGAATGCTGCGTTGTCGGGTAAACAATGAAGTAATAATTCTTCTGAAAAATTGCTAGATCAATAAACTGCTATAATTTAATTTAGTTTAAACATGTAATCAAGGCAGTAACCTATCGCATGAACATCTCCAATTTTTTAAACTGGTACAGTACACGGTGTTTTTATAAAAACAATAAATATCTAATAAAACGTGGAGGGTATTCAACTGTGTATGTCAAATGTGTAACAAATAAATTTAAAATTAAAAATTATAAATCGGCAACCAGTGCGTTTAACTTTAGGTATAACTCCAATTTTGATTGTTCCTATACTAAAGTTGTAACATTTTATTTAGCTTTAAGTTTTCATTCTATAGGTTTTGTATTCATTATCCAGTTCTGGTGAAAAATGTAATTTTATTCTTTTTTTTATTTTCTTCTATATTTTATTGGCACAATTAGACAATCTTTTATCCAAGATTTTATTTTCTGATATTTTTCCGATTACAGATGTCGATTTTTGAATTTTCGATATATTCGCTGAATTTACTCAAAAAATGATCATGGGATCATTTAAATTTAAAGTGTTATTCCAATTTGCATTTTTCATTAAGGTTTGTAATTTATTTTGTCCATTAAGTTATTTTTAGTGCTGAAAGAATTTACCTATAAAAGAACGGACAGTGGTCAGTAATGTGGCATTTAAGAATAAATGAGTCAAAAATTTAATTTTGTTGGTTATTAAGTGACTTTTAAGCATGATTCATATTCATGTGTAACACGTGAATGATTCAGAAGATAAGATAGAAAACCATGTTTGTATTTAAGTCATTCTCATTCATTAAAGTAATGTTAATGTCACCGATTAATAACTCAGTTTTAGTATTCTGTTTAGTTTGATCTCAATGAACGAAGTCAAGTTACTTGGGTTAAGTCTGTACAATGCTATTATTCTGAACGATACAGCATGAATTAATAGATTTATTATAGATAAAGAAATCCCAAATATTTTTGATTAGTATAATTATGATCAAATTTGATTAAAGTTAAAATACCGTCGTTTCAGTCGCCTCCATTGTGTACACTCACTTAAAACAAAAGTAGATAGCTTGTATACTTTCATAAGTGCCAGGAATTCATCAAGTTTCTTAGCACTCTGTAAATTAAAGTGTTGATCTCTCGAGCTCTCTCGAGCAATTTAGTTTTTGCCCTTTTAAAATTTTCAATTGCTTATCGTAACTTAAAATTTAAACATCAGATTTCCAGATAGTCTAAAGGTATATACCATATAACAAACGTATTCTATAAATAATAAACCGTAACAAATAATACGTGTATAATTAGTATTTTATAAATGGTAATTTATAGAAAACATGATTTTTTTATGTATCATCGGCTTCAACTACTCTGGTTATTTCGCCTCGTGTTCTGTGTAGGCTTTGTTACAGTTTCCCAGCGCCACTTTAGGAACCGCACTGTTAATTAGAACTCAACAGTGAATGGTCGAGTGGCGAATCCTACCAAGGCATCAGAATAAGTAGTGTAGTAGAAACTTGAATTTTTATCTTTTTTACAAGAGTTTTTTTGTGAAATATAAGATAAACGTTTCTCCATTTGTATGAAACTTTTTGGGAGACATTTTTTGTGTCAGATTTTATGTTGTACAACTTGTTAGAGAACCTATAGCAATTTTTTATATAGACAACAAACAAACAAATCATTATTATACAAGTTTTCAAGCTAAATAAAAAAGTTTGACCAAATAAAATAGGCCAATAGTGTTCCGTACTGTAAATGTTTTAAAGTAATTAGAGTTGATATGTTGATAGATTTAGCTGGCAGTACAGCAGAAGTTTTCCTTTGTATAAAACAAAACCTATCAAAGGGCAGTAATCATGATAATTTTGGTTTAATGAGATTTTTATGAGGTTACTTTACATAAATGTAACCATATCATAAGTCGACCGCTTTAATATACTTACATCAGCTCACATACTTTAATTTAAAAAATTTCGAAATTCTTGCACTTGGATTTTTAGAAATTATTGAAATTTGTAGATGTAATTGAAGATTTTGCAAAGGTGAGAAATATCGAATTAATTTTTTTTTATTTTAGATAAAACTTTCAATTTTTTAACAGTTATTTTGATGATTTAAAAAATTGAATATGGAAAAAGACAGGATTTATTTTTCATAAAAAATTATTTTTATAAACAAAAAATGTTCTGACACTTTTAAATGAATATCATAACGATATTCAATATCCCTGACTAAAAAAAAATATTGAGACAAAGAAAAAAGTATTAAAAACTATTGGATTGAATAGAAAACCAATACTTTTTTCTTTATGTTAATACTTTTTTTTAATCAGGTACATGCAAATCTTCGGTATTTTTATTTCACATTATAAACAAATAGAGAAGTCATTCGGATTTAATAATTTCAAAATGTTTCATACACGTAAGATTAATCTCACTAAAGGAACAAAAAGTAAAGAATATTACTCGATAAAGACTATAGTTGATCGATTAAAAAATTAATATGTTACCCATACAGATTGAGAAGTAAATTAATGAATTGAATTATAATATTTTCTATCGAAATTTTTTTATAAAAACTAATCTGAACCAATTTTTGAAATTGATTGTCTTTACTTTTTTGTGCCTCTAAAATTTTGGCATTTCATAAATTTTGCCGCCCTTCAAATTATGCCGCCCTAGGCCCGGGCCTCACGGGCCTAGGCGTAAATCCATCACTGTACCCATCCCCTAACTTAAGGCAAGACAAAGTATTTGGGCCACTGATTACTTCAAATTTCAATTATGAATGTCAAATAGTCTCTCAGTAAAACGATGGAGAGACAGAGAGGTAATTTCATAAGTGCTTCTTATTGCCAATTAGGGTACTAATTTGACAAATTACTTGAAAAAATCTTTGTTTTTGCCTTCAAAACGTCACTGTTTTTTCATGTTTCGTCCTAAATATATTTTTCCAAATTTAAATTTGATATGTTTTTATCACGAGAGAAACGAATGGAGACGAGAGAAATGCTCTCTCGAGCGAGAGAAGCGTCTTCTCGTCTAGACGAGAGAACAATTTTCTTTCGTCCTACGAGACGAGAGACAGGCATCTCTCGTCTCGTCTAGTGGGATCACTAATTAGTATTTACCATTATGTAGAATAATCGATTATGGATTTTAGCAATTTTGCGTGACAGGATTCTGCCTGTCTTTGATGATATATCTAAAATATTTTAAAAACATGACAAATACCATAAGAGTAAGTCCTAGATTGATTTTAGGAATATGATGGACATCTTTTATTTTTTGTGGTCTTCATCTTGTGGGTACATAGATCCAGAATAAATCCCACGTTTAATTATTAATAATTTAGCAAGTTTTCCTGCTTTAATTTTAATCATATTCACGACTTTCATTTAATATGTGACTAATTCGTACAAAATTTTTAATTTGCTGGTTGTTAAACTATAGATTTAGGATGGCTATCTTAATGGAGTTAAATTTGCATATTTTCATGTAAAATTGAAAAGTTATTATTAAATTTATTTTATTTATATAAAAAAATTATTTAAACAAATATGTTAAAATTTTTAAAATATTTTCTATTATTTTATTAGAGCTTTATTTACACGCTTCTTGCAGCTTTATTACTGTGGCCATTTCTACTGAAGCGATTATTGTAGAATTGTTTACAAATACCACATTTGTTCTCAATGGGGTTCAATTCACATAAGTTCTTTTTTAACCATTCAGTAAACATTTCAGTATTCATGTTGTCACGATAGTCACATTTGTTAAATTTTGAAGTAAAATTAATTCTGTATTAAAAATAAAGCCATTCTCCTTACCTGCATGGACAGTAATATGGCTTTATTCCTCACTTGCACACTCTTGTTTTATTTGATTTTATATTTGTATCCTGTCAGATTCTTTTTTGGTATCGCCCTTCGAAAAAATTCATGCCTCATCTAAATATACAACCGAAGCACCACTTTTTTTTAACGTATGGGCGTTCATTAAGAACATCAGTAATTTTCACCATTTATAAGAGTTGATCATCAATTTATTTAAATGAAAATCTAAATGTTTTAATTTCTTTTTATTTTAAAACAGTTATCCTAAAAAATCTAAGTATGTAATATGTAGTTATTTTTTAACTAGGCAGAGAAATATCAGAATTACTGCCGCGGCTAGCATTACATTACCGAGGCAATGGAACTAGCCAAGGCAGTAAATCTGTTTCTCTGCCGTGTTAAACATATAATATTTTCTCCGATTGTTTATACAGTGTTTAAAATATGGAACTAAAAGAAAAACCTCTTAAGTATAACGGATATAACTCACGCATTTTTAATATTTATTCTAATCGTTGTTTTTATAACTATATACCTTCAATTTATTAGAGTACCTTTTTGGGCTGGATGCTCATGCAGACTAAGACTTCAAAAGAGAAAAGAAGTCGAAGATAACATGGTATGAGGTTTTGTTCCTCTTCAAGTGTACACTGTACACATAGTGGAATCCTAGTGTAATTCCATCTCATGAAGGTGTTCTAGCAAGCAGTGACCCGTTAGTAATTTCACAATAGTGGATATATGAAGCCTGGCAAAATGTAACACATCAGCACCCATGCGCGGGTTTGTTACACTTAGCATTCTGTGGCAATTTGTCTGTTTCCAGTGAGTTTGGTGTGTTTTGATTTTAGAGCAGTGGTTTTGCTTATCCCCATCCCCAATATAGGTTTGAGTCCTGAGTACCATCTTAGACCTGATTCTGTTTAAATTAAGGGCCTTTAAGGCTGGTTGGCTGTCTGATAGAATTAAGATGGTTTGTTTTTTTGTACTTCCTCCTTAAAGATTCTTGTATTCTCTTGTTTTCCCAGTGAGACGGTGATATCGCTTTTGAGTTTAACTCCATTTGCGCCAGAGCCTGATCCCTTGTTAGTTTTAGATTCGTCCGCATACGAGACCCTACCTCTTCTATTTTTGGGAAAGGTAATACTACTTAAATATATATCTTTAAGCTTCAAACTATTCGAGGTGATTTATTTGTTAGAAGATATTCCATTTTAAGAAAAGTACAAATGTAACCATTTTTATAGTATATAATACTTTTACCACCTTTTAATGAGGTGCGCATTTTAAATTCGATATTATGACCAGTTATCGAGATACAGGGGCGTTAAAGTGGTGAATTGCTAATTTTAGTATTTTTTTCTTTAAACTGAGAAGCTAAATTGACTGTATGTAGCATATATAAGTTTTGGTCAGATGTCTGTAATGGGACAGTAAGTTTGAAAATAAAAATTCCGAAACACTAGGCAATTTTCAACTTTAACACCGTGGATATCTAAAACTAGTCATAGGAATGAGTTGACACTTTTGGTTACTAGGTTGAGTACAAAGTTTCGGAAAATTTGACCGGTCGTCACTTTACATAAGGAAAGTGGGGGGTCCTTTGGATATTGGATGTGTAAGTTTTAAACTAACAGATGAAATGATAAAATTCATAACATCTTTAACAATTCATAGACTAAAACAATTGGAAGATCAAAATCAGAAAGGATTACCAGAAGAAATTAGTTTTGAAATCATTTACAATGGGTTCCAGTTATTGGAGATATCCATCATATATGCACTCATTCTGGCCTCCCCCTTTATTTCTGTCTGTGAGAAAAAATATACCAAATTCGGTAGATAAAATATATCAAAAATAATCTAATTGATATTTTCTTTACAGGATAAAATAATTATTCTACCTCTATAAGAAGAAAACTCTCCACAAAGGTCGCTCAGATTCTAAATTTCTACATCTAAGAAAAGAATTTATTTATTACATATTAACTTATTTATTTATTGTGATACCTACGTAATACTCGTATAGTAAATTTAAGCCACCAATCGTACAGAATGGCGCACACGACGGAACTGGTTTTAATTTATTTGACAATACTGAAGATGTCAGTTTCAAGATCTCAAAACCTCGACAGTCCTTGTCCAAGCGTCTTTCAATACAGGTATGATCGACAGATTGGATTATACGGGGAAGTCAGTATCATTGTTGATCCGACCAATTTCTTGCAGATGAATCTTCAAATGTCCATTGGTAATGCAGTAAGGGTGAGTCAAATATACGTTATCCTATTATTATTTTCAACAAGAAAAATAAGAACAAAATCTGAGGAAAAAGTTTAACTGAAATATTTAAATAGGTATTTATCTAGGTTAATTAAAAAGTTTAAGAAACTGCTCAGTTACTACTTTTAAACTTTTTTATAGGATTTTGTGTTTTTACAACAGAACAATTTAACTGAAAAGTTCAAATATTTTGTTATTTAAAGTATTAGTCTAAGAGCTAGTGGCCGCAAGGTGGTACGATTATAGGGTCCGATTACAATTAGAAGAACACAGTTACGTCATCATTTGGCAAAATAATTAATCGGTTTAGTGGAGTGTTAATATTACAGGAATATAGGAAATATTTTTTATACCTAACAAATTTAACTGCATGTTGAATGCTTAACAAACTGAATTATCTAATCAAATATGTGTATTTTAATTTTTTTTACAACTTTGAGTTGCCTGACTTCTCGTTTGCGGGGGTTTTAAACTAAATCCTTGCATATGATACTTTCTGATGGTCCGTCAACCACTTTACAAAATTCCAGCCGGGTCTTTTCACGTTACAGTGTGCTGTATAAATGTTCTTATAAGCTTAATATTTGATAGATTTTCTATTAACAATTATTATTGTACAGCATATTGTATTAGTTGCGTCCAGATTTTTAAATTACTGAAGAAATATTTATAAACGATATTCCCAAAATACTATAAATTCAGAACAAAATTTGAAAAGGAGCTTTTTTATTAAATACGTGGTTATTTTGTTATTTTTGTTGCCTATTTTGAAAATAGATTTCGCTACTTCACCTTGAAATCAGTCATATTCAATAAATCTTCATCCTTTACAATAAAATGTATCGTATCTTTTTAATTACAAATTCATGAGCAGTATTCAGGTATTAGTTTATTTCTACAGGGGAAAATCCATTTAATTTAAATAGATCTATTGTTGTGGTTTCATTTATTTTTCGAACAGCATGCTTAGTTTTGTTTATCGATAGTGATGTATGTCCGGTAAAGAATGAAAACAAACAGACGATACCTGTATTGAATTTTGTTTTGCGGTAATTACTGTAAAAAAATCGATTAAAGTAAACCGGATCTAAAAATAAATCAGATCTAAAAATAACGTTATATAACAGTTTTTAAATAAGCCTTTTATTTTGTTACATTGATCGATCCTAATATATTATTATGTACGTATCAAGTTAGCATGGCATCTTTGGATTCGGCACATTCTGAGTACCTGCTAGTTTCAGTTTGTACACCTCTCCCAAAATGATTATTGACAAACTTATTTTGTACTGCCACCCTGGGTTAAGTACTAAAATAGCTTACCCTTGCTCCGTCTAATAATGAGTCCTTTATCGAAATTTATAATTAGAATCTACAATTACAAATAATAGAAATGATCATCAAACAAAAGAATACTTTATAGAAATCGCCACAAAGCACTAGGTTTTTCCAGTTTTTTTTTTTAAGCAGAAGGGAAGTAATATTTCCATAAAAATTTGGAGAAGATGTGTTAATTATTTATGATAGGGATGGAGAAGGTCCTATATCGGCTTTCTATAACAATGCTTACAATAATCGAGCAACTTTGATTTTCGTTCAAGGATGACTCAGCTGTTTATAAATACGGGCTTTAGGCAGCACTTTTGTAGCAACAAATATTATACTAGTTGTATAAGTGCTTTAATGCTTTAATGGTATTAAACTGATTATTTTACACTATAATGCATCAACCAATGGCAATCCTCTTTTTTTAACACACGCCAATCAATTCAAGTTGTATATGAAAACACTAAATGTCGCACTATTTTCATTTGTCGCAGTGTTTTCATTCAATACCGATTAAATTTAAAAAAATCAATTTATTACCAGATTAAGAAATCCAAATAAACATAAATCCGAAAAATGCCCCCGAATTTGAAATGATTGCTAAGGAAATTTTAAAAATGCTTCCGCGGATAGCTGTTTTCAAAATGGCCAATCTTAACAATGTCTCTTTTAGACTAAAGTACGTGCCAAAGATGTGTAAGGTGGCAGAAATTATAATGATACCTAAGACAGGTAAACTTCCCCATGAAGTTACATCATACTGATCCATCTTATTTTTACCTGCTATCTCGAAACCCTATGAAAAATTGTTTCTTAAGAGATTGAAACCTATAAATAAAGAAAAGGACCTAATACCCTCTGATCAGTTTGGCTTCAGAGAAAAACACTCGACCATCGACAAAGTTCATAAAATCACAGATATCACCGAGAAGTCCTTGCTCCACCGTCTTTTTGGATGTGGCTCAGGCTTTCGACAATGTATGGCATGAAGGCCTAATTCAAAAACTGAACATGTTCATGCTACGTCAGTGCTTTGATCTATTAAAATCCTATTTAATAGAAATTAAGCCAGGAGTACCTCAAGGTAGTGTACTAGGTTCAGTACTCTACTTGAATACCAGAGATATACCCAATCTTGAGTCGAATACTATCGCAAAAATTGTAGATGATACTACAATCCTTGCTGTTGAAAAAATCACGAAGACGCTAATAGAAATTGCAAAAATTTGAAACCACCTGGATGAACACCTAGCTTGAACATTTTCTCCGGGAGAGTTGTTTTGTGAATGATTCTAATAAACAAAATGAATTTATTCCTATTAGAATAAACGACACTTGCCAATACAGAAAAATATCTGGCTAAGACACTTAATGCTAGACTTCGCTGGAAAGTTCATATTAAAAATAAACGCGAAGAACTTGGTATAAAATACAAAAGAAGTTATTTAACGTTTCCAGAATAACGTATTAAGAAACATTGTCGATGCACCCTGGTACTGCCGCAATACTGATCTTCATAAGGATCTTAAAATGGATACTGTTGAAATACAATAGAAAAATTTGCCAGTAGTCACCAACGACTGCTCCAACATGGGAACGTTGAGATTATCCTGCTCTTCAATAATGCCAATCTAATAAAAAGGCTCAAGAGAATCAAGCCGTTTGAGTTAGTTCAGTGGTGTCCATGATTGGATTTGGTTTTAACCCGAACGCTGCCGTAACCTCTTCCGTAAACAGCATACGATATCGTAAATCCTATTTACTAAATAGCATCCGTGATTACAAATTTCAACAATTTTGATAGATTTTGGCACTTTTATTGCAAATTTAATTAACAAAATATGTATTCTAGGTAACAGGTAGTTATAAGAAGTATGTATGTACTTTGAATAAAAAATATTATTTAGCAATTTTCCTTCTGCCTAGGGACTTATTGTCTTTAACGCATTCTTGTAAATCATGGGGTGCTAACCTCTGTTTCTGAGTTCCATTTTTCGGTTTTCTTCCTGATTGGAATCGCCATCTCCCTGTAAATTTAGTTTTTCTGCGCATAATAGTAGTTGATTGTACGGAAATTTTCATGCCCTTTCGAGAAGCGTTAATTAATCGTTTGGTGCTAGTACCCCTAAATTTAAATGCAGTATGTAAGCCACTTAAAAGGCTGGAGGACCTTTTCACATTCGTATTATAACTGTTCATAAAGACTTTTACTCCTTCTTGAAAGTTTTCCGGGTCATCCCTCAAATTTTTTTCGATATCGGATGTAAATTTCGTTGCAAATAGTTTCCACTCATTTATAAGAGCACTGGTATTTACTTCCTCTATAGGGTTGTCATTTCCAAATCATTATCGCAATCTGTATCTAATGAAGAGGTTGTGATGGGTCTTTCTAACAAATAGTTGGTATTTTTGTTAAACAGGTAGTGCTGGATTCCGGTTCCTTTACTAAAAGCAGTGGTTTTAAGAACTAGTTAGGAGGGTTCGTGCCAGTAGCTATCTTATATAAAATTATTTTTTGGTCTTGACACAAGATATTACATGCCGATGTTATGTTGTATTTTTTTATAATACTTGATTGATGTTTGCATATCTTCCCTGTATAGCCTTCGGGGCAAGAACAAGTAAAACTTTGCATATCAACATAATGTTCGATAGAGCTTGAGGAATATTGGTTTAACATCCTTATCGTTTACTGTATATTTCCTAATATCTACTTTGTTGGTAACCATATCCAATAATCTTTGTTTATAATAGGCAATAAAATTTGTTGTAATAAAATCTACCAATTGGACAAGGTATATCTTTAAAAAGCCTAAAGACTGATTTTTAACGAACATTTTTGCGATCACGGATGTTAGTTACCCAAGCCATTTGCCATATCGTCTGCTATTTACCAGATATGTTCGGGCGAAAGCCGACTGGCGATCCTGGGTGTTGTATACAAATATGCGTGCGGCCTTTGTTATATCTTGAATAACACTAAAGACGTTTTAAAAAATATATTTTATTCTTGAAAAGGATAATTAAAGTAATGTTTCTTGTAGGAGAGTTGTAATGAAACTAAATCTTACATTTTTGTCGCCCCTATTTATAAAGTAAGGTAAAATACTAGATGGCAGCAAAAAAAGGCGTAAGGTGATAATTATTCAAGGAATTGCTACTAAACATAATTTAACTTTACTGAATCTACTATGAAATAATATACAGTATGAATTTTTCAATTTTATTATTAAATATTAGTCTAGAACTAAAAAAATTTAAATCACAGAGGCTCAGTCAAATAATCCTAGTTGACACGTAAAGCGTAACTGTATTAGAATCACCTAAGGACAACATACTGCTTAAATATCAAGCCGCCGCCTATGAAACCCCTTTAAATTGATTTTAGTTCCTAGGTATGACTTGTCCTCTCTTGTTATTTCTAATCTTTGGTATCACCCTGTATTTCAATTTTGAATAAATGTTTATTTGTAGGGTAATGGAAAATTGGAAATGTCCAGACCGAAAGACGTCGCCGATAACATGATGAACCACCGACCCATAGTTTACCACCTATTTTTTCCCGCTTGGACTGGAATACCGCCGAAAATTACGCAGATCCTTGTCAATGGGAAACTAATCTGTAGCGGATCCAAAATTCCAAGTAAGAGATCTGATTCGAATGCTATTTTAATTACATTATATTCAAATTAGGAACAGGTAATGGTCGGATTGTGGGCGGGTCAGGGTCAACTGAACTCATGTTTATAAAACAATAATTTGATTTTATAATTTTCATTGTTTTTTTTTGTTACTTTAATTCTGTTTTTCACAACACTTTTTTTGATTTATTTGTAAAACCCAATAAATTGTAGAATGATATGATTTATTTATACAGAGTAAATAAAGGTCTGTTTTTAATTTATTTTTATAAACGTCACATTCTTGTGCACAAACTGACAAATTTTGTATTCTGAATTAAATTTATTTCAATTCTGTTTTAATCTCTGATATCTAACGACATGACACAAGTTTAAGTTTACAGATGGTGCTTTAAATAATACAAATTTTATTAAATAAATATGTTAATCAGTTAAAAACTATTAATAATGTGTAATAGTAGTTAAATAACATTCAAAATTATGACATTTACTTGAGTCGCAGTTTTATTTATATTTTCGATATCCTTAAAGTTCGTTGAAAGTAGTTTTGCAAATTTCTAAACGTCGGTAAGGTACATAAAAATTTGCCTTGTATCATAAGAATGAATATTGCTATTATAGACCAATTCACTTTTATTTTTATATAATAAAGTAAGAAACTCTAAAAAGCCCAAATTAAAGGATTTTAAGTTAACAAACAAATGTGCTCATCCATATCCTAATCACTGCATTGGTGGTATATCAATTTTTCAGTTACTCTAAGGGTAAACCACTCGGAAATCATCAAATATTCGTATAATAGTATATTATTAAACGAGCAATTTATGGTAGCCATTAGAATGAGTAATGGCCGTAAATTGCAGTCTAATACTATTACGGTTTTTTTATTAAATAAAAGTTAAGTGTAGAATGGAAAGTTTTTATTAAACATAGGTGGTTGTTTTTTTAACTTTTCAATTTTCCGATTTTCCAATTTTTCGAAGTTCAGATTTTTCAATTTTTCGATTTTTCAATTTTTCGATTTTTCGATTTTTTGATTTTTCTTATTTTCGATTTTTCGATTTTTCGATTTTTCGATTTTTCGATTTTTCGATTTTTCGATTTTTCGATGTTTCGATTTTTCGATTTTTCGATTTTTCGATTTTTCGATTTTTCGATTTTTCGATTTTTCGATTTTTCGATTTTTCGATTTTTCGATTTTTCGATTTTTCGATTTTTCGATTTTTCGATTTTTCGATTTTTCGATTTTTCGATTTTTCGATTTTTCGATTTTTCGATTTTTCGATTTTTCGATTTTTCGATTTTTCGATTTTTCGATTTTTCGATTTTTCGATTTTTCGATTTTTCGATTTTTCGATTTTTCGATTTTTCGATTTTTCGATTTTTCGATTTTTCGATTTTTCGATTTTTCGATTTTTCGATTTTTCGATTTTTCGATTTTTCGATTTTTCGATTTTTCGATTTTTCGATTTTTCGATTTTTCGATTTTTCGATTTTTCGATTTTTCAATTTTGGGATTTGATATTTACCATCTCTCTAACTACCAAAGTATTGTTCAATTTCTGTCTACACTCTAGTCCCGACTGATTCTGAGACTGCCAAGCCAAATGCGTAGCATTTAATACCAATATAAGTAGCTGGTATTGAATAAGCTCTACCTACAATTGTGAAGAATAACTACTAATATTCGGAGCAATTTAATAGAAATTGTCCTTGTCTTCATTTCCTTTTATTGTCAAAAAAGTATACAATTATTATAAAAAAAAAATCCACTTTTCTGGGTGATGTTTTAAATAAATGAAATTGTTTATTATACACTTTCTTCATCTGTTAAAGATTATAAATAGAAATGGAGATAAAAACTCTTATTGCATATATTTGCATAAGCTTACGATTAAGTAATCATTACAAGTGCAATACTTATCGCATTCTAAATATACAAATAAATCAACATCCTTAATCCCACTCGACACCTTTCAAAATCCATAATCCCCATACCAAGCAGTCATAATAGTCGTTTAACGACCATCCATGTCTAGCAAATTAAATAATCTTTAACACAGCGAGTGCAATTTCTGCCACTCTCAAACATCATCAGTACATCAATAACTCTTCCAGTATCGAAACTCACCTTCACAAAACATTCAAGTTTTTTTTTCTATTCTATAAAGCAATTATGTTGTACCAGTTTATAATTTTTATTAATAAGTTTATTATTAGTTAGGCGGTTAATAGACCAGTTAGTAGTGATGTAGTGATGGACCTTTGAAAGGCGACGTCAAGATGTTTGTGATATGTTTGTTAAGTATGTGAAAAATTGTGGTTTATTTGATGTATTCATGTACCAAATCATTGGTGTTTGGAATACATTTATAAAAAGTGGTTGATTGTGTAATTAAAGACGTCCAGGAGCAGGTTTTATGTTTTCTTTAACATTGTTAATTATATCATAATAGCCTGTTAAATAAGACTACCCGAGGTCTATATACTCATCTTTAGCCAAAACATGAAGTTTTTTAAGAAATTCCCAAAACAGGTCGATTTTTAATATTAATTTGTTTCATTTTGAACAAAATGTTATATATACAGAGTGATGAACATGTAAGTAATGACGTCATCGACATTTTTTTTAAAGGAAACATCCAATATAATATTTAATTTTTGGAATCGTCAAGTCAGGCTGAATTCAAAAGTATATCATGCATAAAGTTTGTATACACTGCGTCCATAATGAAAAATGGGGTTGCCATTAAAAAATACCGATAACGTCATTCCTCCTGCACGAATCATCATGTATATGTGGTAGTTTTATAGTGAAATTCGTCTTTTCATGTAGATCCCAGTCACATCATAAAGCGTCGGCATATTGTGTAAAATCATGAAGCTACACAATCTGCCGAAGCTTCCGGCGTATCATGTCGTAACATAATGTGACTAAATTCAAATATCGGCGTATAATGTCGTAACATAATGTAACTAAATTCAAATATCGGCACTTTGTGAAGTAACTATTTATAGTCGTCCGATTGTGTACCGTGTTTAATTTACCTGGTTTTATTGAAGCTGATGGTAATTTTGTTATTATTTTTGGTTATTATAGAGAAAAATATTGAAAAAGAGTTGCTTAATGCATATGATATGCCTTGTCCGAATAAAAGACCATACAACATGCAACAGTTAGATAAGGTATAAACAATTTGTTTGAGGTTATGTTATGAATCATGCAAAATATACGCAAATACCAATGCTAGATAATATAGGATGGACCCAATAATAATTATTTTAGTATATGCGAATATCGTCTTCGTAGACTTGAAACATCGTATCATAAAATTACCAGGTTTTCAGGAAACACTAAACTTTTATTTGGAAAAGTAGCTTTTTTAATGTAGTAGAAAAAGACAAGTCAACAAGATGCCAAATGGTTAAAGATTTACATTTTTAAAATTAATCCTTTTAAAAAAATTCAATTACGCCAAAATATGAGTTACGAGGTTTTGACCCTATAACGACGATATGGTGCGTTTAGCTTTTATTAGAAGATTTACTATAAGCTTTAGAAGTGGTTTAAATTTATTTCCCCAGCCGACCTTTTCAGTTGACAGATATTGATCCTTAGTTCCCAATATAAAGTCATTTAAATTTTTTTGTTTATTCTATTACTTCCACATCACATAAGATGAGTGTAAATATAGTATAGGTAAAAAATATTTTTAACAGAACTGTCAGACTATCTCTAAAATGACTAAAAACATTTTTTCTGTGTGTCCACCATAACTCCCGAACGGTTAGAGGTATCGATTTCAAATTTAATGGACATAATCAAAAAAGCTCTAAAATATTTTTTCCAATTTTGACTTATAAAGTGAAATTTTTTGTAATCGTAGCAAATGTCAAAATGATCTACTTTACGCAACCAATTGCATAATGCTGAACATTATAAAACTTGTTTCGAAAAATTCATTAAGCCAATAAAAATTTACCTTTTTTGGTTGTAAAATAAATAATATACATTATTTTATTGAAAGGTTACCAAAGAAGGGCAGGTTGATTTATAAAAATATAATTTGGTTAAACTTATAACCTAATAATAATGTTGTTTCGGTCTTTATTTTCCTTCTAAATCAGCATAAAATAATTAAAACACAATACACGATAAAATAACCCACTTTTTTGGAAACTAAATAACTTTAATAAGCCATATAAACCATTACGAGTCGTTGAGAATAAATAATTAATATTATGTTCTGTCAATAAAATGATGCATATGCAACTAACGATACAAGAAAGTAGTAATATTGGTTGCCAATATATTCGTAATTTCTCACCAAAATACAATTTTATAAATAATTCTAATCAAAATTAGAAAAAATATTGTATGTAACATGTTACGAAATGTCGTTTTATGTAACTCGTTCATGTTGTGGGGCCTCGCTCTGCTCGTCCCGCAAATATTCACTAGTTACATAAAATAAAACATTTCACAACTGGTTTCATAAATAGCAATTTAGCGATATAACAGCTATTTATGTAATCAGTAACGAAATGCCTTATTTTGTGTAACGAGTAAAGTGGAGCGAGTTCCCACAAAATGAACGAGATACACAAAACGGCATTTCGTAACGTGTTACATACAAAAAATGTTCTAATTTTTTCTTGATTATTTATAATTGTGTTTGGTTAAAAAATGATGCACCCTCATTCTTTTGTAGATACTTCCAATCAAATATTTCAGAAAATTGGTGTATTTGATTGCCCTACGACGGTTTTTTTTATAGTAATAAAAATAAGTGACATGTGCAGTGTTGCTGATGTGATTTTTGACATTACCCGCTGAAAATTAAAAAAAAATACATTTTACCCGTTATCCTTAAAGGAGTACGTCAAAATTTTACCCTCAACAATTCTGGGCCAGTTTTCAATAATAATAAAATAAAATGCAATTTACAGCTTTTATTTTTTGTTTTCTTTTTGTTGTTAAACGTAATGTCAAATTGTCAAA